TTCTCAATAGTTCTTTAAATCGTTCACATAATTCATAAATAGATTCCTCTTCAAACTGACAAAAAGATGTAATATTATTTCTAAACTTCACAGTTTTTTATGATGAAAAATATTTAGTAAGGAATTTCTGTGCTAAATTACCTCAAGTTCTAATAGATCTGGTGCTAACGAATTTAACCATGTCTTAGTCTTATCCCTCTGTGAGAAAGGAAAAAGTCTAAGTCTATGAAATCATGTGAAACACCATCATATTTAAATTTAGCATACAATTCTAGAAAATTTGTAAGATGTAAATTTGGATCTTCAGTTGGTGCTCCCCCAAACTAATTATTTGATACCATTTGGATAATAGCAGGTTTAAGTTCAAATGAATTAGTCATTATAACAGGTTTTTGAATACTACAATGAAGTTCATCTACTGTAGGGCTTGCATAATCCCTTAAAGGTCTAAACTCTTGATTAATTTCAACATTCTGATTGTTTTATTTTGTCATTTCTTGAAATTTTTTATCTTTTTCGATATTTTTGATTTTTTTGATTTTTCTAATTGTTCTTTCTAATTTTGAATCGTAGGGCACTAGTCCTTTAGAATCTGAACTACACATACATTACTATAAAACAACATAAAATAAAATCACACTAACAAGAGCTTATATAAAAACAACACTACGATGTTCCTATAATAAATCTAAAAGTTTAAATAAGACTTTCTAAAAATATAAACTTGTTTTCTAAAAAATTCCTTCACAATTTTCTTATAATCCCCAGCAATGCCGCCAAAAACTAGATCCTGATCTTATATGACTGTACTATGATATATGCAATTATATTCTTAATTTTTTCTTGCATATATTTCTTACTTTGCAACGATGCCAAAAACTTGACTTCAAAGCAAATAAGAGTGCAATTATTATATTTAAATATAGGATACTACAAAAGTATACATAACGTTATCAAGTAATATAGGACTTTTTGATTAAGCCTCAAATATCGAACCCATAGGGAGAATCTCAATATTTAAATAAGTTAGAAGAAATTAGATAACAAATTCTACTATGCAAAATATTCTTACTCAAACTATAGATGCTATAATAGGAATGAAAGTTAATTCTTTTTGGTAATTTTTTATAATTAAAAATAAAGTAAATAACTAACTAAATTTAACTAGATATTTGTAAGATAAAGGCAATATAAATAGAATATCTTTTTCTTTATCATTATTCAGTAACAAGTATAGGATTTTTGTTGTGGAAGTATTCAAATTGTGTTGTGTCAAATAGGAGCAATATTATGTCAAATAGGAGCAATATTACGTTGTGGAAATAATATTCTTTACCCTTACTAGATAAAGAACATTAGCTAATTTAAAGTTTGAATAGCCTTAAAGATCGGCTAGGTAGAGAAGATACTAGCTTTCACTCTAAAGTTCCCTCTTCTCCCTCCACCTGGGGGCTAACATCTCGTATCAAGACCTAAAACTATAAACCAAATTTGGGGCTTTAGTCTGTCACTCTAAAGTTCTCTAGCTCTACACCCTTTAAATATTAATTCCCTATTTATTTGCACTTAATCATATGAATTACATTCTCATCCATACAATCTCATGTAATTCTTACCATTAATTGACTGACCCAATATCATCACGGATCTTACATGTTCTCATAATAAATATTAAGACCTTAATTGGCCAAATCAAGAAGTAAATGAAATACAACGTTTAAAATAATCACAAATTATTCCAATATTAAAGATTAATACTTCACACAACTTCCATCCAACACTTAGTCACTTATCATTTTAAGGAAAAATATAAAGAAAAAAATCAAAATTCATGGAGAAAATACAACCACACTTAAGTTTAAAATTAGAAATCATGGAAACAAACAAGAAGTTTAGATTAAAACTAAATGTAGTCACAAAGATAAAAACTTATCTCAAATCCTCTCCACCAAACTCTTGAATTTCCTTTGAATCTCTTCTCTTCCTTTATCTTACAATACTCTCTACTCAGACACTTCAACTCCTCACTTCTTTCTCTCTAAAAGTATCATAATTAATCTATGAGAGAGGCATTGGTGGCGTTTGGAGTGGCTAGTGGGGCGCGCAGAAGAGTCTTCTTAAATCTAATCTAAGTCTTCTTTTATAATTTTCCAAAAGGTTTTTTTGTTGTCTCTTCAAAATGTCTCCACTTTCAATGAATCTTCTAAGAGTTGCCTCCTCTCAAAATCCATTTGAATGTATTTTCGTGTCCATTAACCATATCCCACATTTTCACCAAGAGTTGCTTCAAACACCCCTTCAAAAATTCATACAAATTAATTGAATCATCAAGTAACTACCTTTGGTGCTTAAGTGCGAGGTAGCCTTCTCGATTTTTCTGACGCTTAAATGTCAGTTCTAAACGGTGCGAGGTAGCCTTCTCGATTTTTCTGACGCTTAAGTGTCAGTTCTAAACGCTTAGGCGTCACAGGTCTTTTGCACACC